AACTCCCTCTTCAAGAAAGAAGGCCCTGCCTCAGCAACCTGATTCTCAGCTTTGAGAATACCCATCCTCCTCTGAAGGTGAATAAATCAGGATGTCGTCCACGAAAACGACTACAAAACGATCCAAGAATTCCCAGAAGATCCGGTTCATCAAGTCCATAAAGATTTCCAGTGCGTTGGTAAGCCCGAATGGCATCACCAAAAACTCATAATGGCCATACCGTGTAAGGAATGTTGTCTTCGAAATATCCTCCTCCCTGACCCTCAACTGGTGGTAACCCGATCTCAAGTCTATCTTAGAGAAACAACGGGAACCCTTCAACTGGTCAAACAGATCATCTATACGGGGCATAGGGTACTTATTCTTGACCGTAGCCCGATTCAACTTCCGGTAGTCTATACACAATCTCAAGGCACCATCTTTCTTTTTAGCAATTCCTGGAGCTGAACTTTCAACTCAACCAACTCCACTGGAGCAAAACGATAGGGTGCCATAGAAATCGGCGTTGTGCTGGGCACTAGATCAATGGAGAATTCAATCTCTCGATGAGGTGGCAAACTAACGAGATCCTCGGGAAAGACATCTGAATACTCACAAACCACCCTCGGCAATAGAATCTGGGTCTCATCATACTCACTATTGATAAGGCTAGCAAGTAGACCACTAAGCTCTCCCCGCCCTCGCGGATCATACACCGGTGGCAACACATTACCAACCCGGTCCCCCAAGAAATGGAAACACTCCCCGCGCAAGGTACAAATCGTGACCCTCTGGCGGTAGCAATCAATAACAGCCTGGTATGATGATAGCCAATCCATACCCAAAATAACATCAAAACCCTTCATGGGCATGACAACAAACGGAAAAGGAAGCCTATGGTCGGCGACCTCTATATCACAACCCCTAACACCTTGTTTCAAGATCAACTCACCACCAATAGGCGATACCACACATATAAGAGATGCTAACTATGCTAACTCCAATTCCAAAACATATGCAAATGCAGCAGATACAAAAGAATGAGATGCACCCGTATCAATTAATACACTAGGAACCGAGTTGCAAAACAGAAAGGTACGTCTCACTACTGATGGAGCTGGTACTAGGTCCTGTACGGTAACAGCATACACACGCTCTGTAGGCCCCTGATCCACCTGCTCACCTCTAGGAGCAAAAGACTGCTGCACTGATTGGGATGACGAAGCTCTCGGATTGGCCCTCGAGGCCTGCACAGACTGAGCTGGCTGATAACTCTGCGTCTGCCTAGAACCAGACGCTCCTGAAGTAGCACTCAACTGTGGGCAATACCTCTTCAGGTGCCCAGGCTGACCACATTGATAGCAAGACAAAGGCTGGCCCCTGCCCTGACTTTGGCCCTGAGGTCTAGCTGAAGAAGAAGCAACTCGCTGACCCCCTCCCTTCTATGGGCAAACTGAAGACTTGTGACCCAGCTGGCCACACGCAAAACAAGTCAAGCTTCCCTGACTACTTCTCCCAGAGCCCGTACTCGGCACTGGAAAGGTCGATCTAGCCACACCACCCTGAGACTATTGAGGGTTAGAACCCCTCTGTCTTCTGCAGTCACCCTGACCATCATGGCTCCTCTTGGAGCCTCTCTGCCTCTCATCTTCCTCCTGCATCATAATCTCCATATGAGCAGCAGCATCCACCAAACGTATGTACTCCCGGATAAACGACCCTCCAACCCTCAGCTTGAGCCCACGCCTCAGACGCCACCAGTTCAGGTGCAAACCTAGACAGACTAGTAAAGGTAGCCTCAAACTAGGCCACTGACAAGCCCTGCTGTTTAAGCTGGCAAAACTGCTCCCTCAGCTTCTCCCTCGCAGCTGAAGATAAAAACTTCTCCTGGAAAGCATTCACAAATGCCTCCCATGCACCACCAACACGGCATTTCTCGTACTTCCACCATTGACCCGCATCTCCCTTCAGCTGGAAGGATGCCAGGGTCACCTTCAAAGCCCCGTCCTCGATGCCCAGCATCTCGAACGTCTTCTTCATCTGTTCCAACCACTCGTCAGCCTTAAATAGCTCCTTCGGATCCCCAACAAACTCGTCCGGATTAGACCAGAAGAATTCCCTCTTCAAGAAAGAAGGCCCTGCCTCAGCAACCTGATTCTCAGCTCTGAGAATACCCAAAGCTCCCGCTATCTCTCGGGCCAAGGCGCCCATAGCCTGCTGACCCGCTGGCTCGGCCACGTTGGCCTGACCAACTCCCTCTTGCACTGCCGGAACATCATCCGGTAGAGGTACCTCCTGCCAGCCACGCCTACCACGCCTACCACGCCCTCGTCCTGACATCCTAATAAAGGTAACCAAGACTATTAGCACATTCACAAATGTGCCGAAGCTATAACACTCGCGCCCTAATGCATGGACAACTGTAATTCATTCCACGTAAGCACATAAACACATAAGCACTTACGAATTTCATTTCCGGATAATGACAGTTCCGAGGCGTTACTAGAGTTCCGGTTAGAAACAGCATTGATCAAGTGCCTTTCCAACAAGACTCCCAGAAACCCAAGGATCCAATCAACATCCTAGAAACTAAATCCCATACCCACATAGTCACATAAGCATGTTATCAATTAAGCACATAGCATATGACACTACATCTAAGTCTCTATCAAGTGAGACAAACCCATTGTGATCCTAACCACTTCCCACATACCCAAAGTATTCGAACCCGGTACACTCTGATACCAAGTTGTAACGCCCTCAAAATAATACATAATACCCAACATTTCAGACATGCATTGATACAAAAGAAATCAACCATTTCTATTTATCTGAGTAATTCTTACAACTGTATTACATGTTAACAACAAAAGCAAATGCCCTATGGGCTTACAGCTTTCCAAGTTAATACTTGGTTACAAAAAAAGAAGAGTACTAACTCAATACACATTAAGCCCTTGGCTGGAATTCAGCTTTCCAAGTTAACACTTGGTTAAATGTTTAATTTCCATAAACCAATTCATAACTCATTTCCATTTCACTTCAATTTCCATTTCATGTCAATTTCGCAATTTACATCAACGGCCCAGAACCTGGCCAACCACTTATATGAGACAATGACTCATATTAAACTTTTTTCCCATTTTTACAATAGATAAACACACAAGTTGTATCAACGTCTCGACAGATAAGCATACAAGCTATGTCCACATTTCAACAGATATGCATGTTAGCTATATCAACACTTCCAATGACAAGCATATGAGCTGTATCAACACTTCCAAGGATAAGCATATGAGCTATATCAACACATTATCTGACAAGCATATGAGCTGTATCAGTGGAGTCCATCCCCTATCTCCTCCCAAACAACATCCGATTTAGAGGTCCATCCCGTATCTTCCCCTAAACCGTGGAGTACATCCTCTATCTCCTCCCACACACACAATGCATATATACACAAAGGTCATATACACAATCAATCAATACATAACGTTCATGTATTCTGTCAATCGTCATACCCTATGACATATTCAATTGATTAGTTTTAGTTTGCCTAATCATCATGCATTGTCTACAACAATCAAAACTACCCTCCACCGGTAGCCCAAGCAATTATTTCTAAACAGATAATAAAAGCTCCAACAGAAAAATATCAATGTTTTCAAAAGTGAGCGATTTATAAATCCAACTCCATCATTTCACAACATAATGAACCAATTTCATTATTTCCAACTCAATTCCATAAATTCACAACTTTCCGAAATTAATTATACCAATTAATTTTAAACAACAAATTAGGGCTTTTACCCCCAACTCTCGATATTAACCCAAAGGTTCCAATATCAGCAACCAACAACTACATCATCATTTTAAAACCCAAATTACATATTATGAGCCCAAAATCACAAAACCCTCTTTAACACATTTTGAAACCCTAAGTCCCAAAATCAAGCATTTAAACAATAGGCTCAAAATCTAGGTTAAAACCCATAAGAGTGAGCAGGAATCCCTATCTCAAAAGATGAGACCCAACGAAGAAGATGGTGAAAATGGAGTTGCTCCAAACCACGAGTTTCTCGGATCAAAAGATAGCCCTCGACGATCAACAACCTTTTTGTAAAGGCCAAAGGTGAGGAAAACACCCTAGCTAGATCAATATCTAGAGAGAAGGCAAGGTTTTAGAGAGAGAGGCTCTCAAATGGCCTTTTCGGAAAAGTAAGAGAGAGAAAGGATGAGAAAA